TACCAATATCGGTATCAGTACCAATATCCAAAAACTTCTGAATTTGGTATCGGTGACAATGTGACTGATCCATGACTGGGCAGATCTATTCACTCTATATGCTTTGTGCTCTGAATGACATCACACGTTAGTGTATTGACTGAACAAATTAAAGTTGTGTTGTTTTTACATGTTTGACCAAGCTTGAGAAGCGCTTGGTGTGTTTAAATGTGCTGTTATGGTGCAGAGTTTTCAATACATTTGTAATTCAGTACATTCATGTCCACGTTTAACAAAACAAATGTTTTAAGTTAATTCAGCACAGGGTTTGTAAGCTCATACATCCAGGTAGACAACAAAAATGGCTTAATCATGTCATCTGGACCTGTTTCAGAAACTGGTCCAAATTACATGATTTAGCCATTTTTGTTAATTCAGCACAGTTTTTCTGTATCAGATTGGTATCGGATCGGTATCGTCCGATAATAAACCGCAGATATCGGTATCGGATCAGAAGTGAAACAAAAAAAAGTGGATTGGTGCATCCCTAAACTTGTATAAGTACAGTCAGTGAATTCTTTCTGAAGGATTTGTAAACCTGTCTAAGGACTGATGAGGTATTTTGCTAACATACAAACAGTGCTGAGCAGCACGGTGGCGCAACTGGCAGAGCTGCTGCCTCTCAGCGAGCAGGTCCTTGGTTCAAACCCCGGTCCAGGGGCCCTCTGGGTGGAGTTTGCATGTTCTCTCCGTGCATGCGTGGGTTTTCTCCGGGTACTCCAGTTTCCTCCCACAGACCAAAAACATAAGTATCGGATCAGAAGGCTGGGTGTTAGGGGGTTAGGCTGATTGGTAAGTCTAAATTGTCCCTAGGTGTGAGTGAGAGAGTGAATGGTTGTTTGTCTCATTTGTCTCTATTTGGCCCTGTGATGGACTTGCGACCCGTCCAGGGTGTACCCCACCCCTCACACATTGATTGCTGGACATGGGCACCGGCGACCTCCGTGACCCAAAATGGAATAAGTGGGTAAAGATAATGGATGGATGGATGGATGGACAAACAGGGCTGACTCAAACAGGTACTGTTTAAGTTTGAAGCCAAGATCTTGCACAATAAAATGCATGCACGTGTTGGAATCACTCTCAGGAACAACAAAAACAAATTTGAGCCCAAAATCCATAAAATTGACAGAATTATGGCCATTGCTGTTTGAATGGAGCTGTGGTGGCTCTTAAATAATAATAAAAAAAAAATCCTGAAAGTTTCATTCCAACCTATCCAGAGATTAATGAGATATTTTGCTAACAGGGTTGACATCAAATAGGTAGTCGCAAAGATCTAAACACAGGTCTTATGCATGCATCTGTTAATGCCCAGATTGTGTGTTGAGAATTAGTTTAAGCTACTGAAACACCAAAACAACACTGCCAGTTTTAGACATTTTTCTGTGTTTATTAAGGTCAGCTTGCTGTGGCTGCCATCTTGAATTACCATATATTTCAGACTATAAGGTGCACTTAAAATCCTTTAATTTTCTCAAAAATCAACAGTGAGCTTTATAATATGGTGCGCCTTATGTATTAATTCTGGTTGTGCTTACTGACCTCAAACTGATTTATGTGGTACACGGCGCTCAAAAATCTGTCAAAATGTTTTAGTTTTGCTTAATGCGCCTGGTGCGCCTTACACTCCTAAAAATATGGTAAACTGAGTCTGACTCCAGACAGTCAGTTGTAGATAAACAGCCTGTGATTACTTTCTGCTAACTTCATGAAGTTTTGTCCACAGGTTCATCAGATATTTTAGTAATGGACAAGCAAACAAACATACCCCCCCCCCCCCAACACACACACACACACACACACACACAAAGATATGGGCAAAACATGATCCTCATCATTTGGCCATGTGAGAGCAGGCAACAATTAAATAAATTGCATAAATTGAGTTAAACTCTGCAACCCTCAAAGAGAAAAATGATCACGATCATTTCCAAACATTTTTGGATCTGTTGTAACATATATAAATATGCCAGCATTTTGCGAGTTTGGATTGCATCTTTGAGCAGCTTGGCCTAATCCTCATCTTCTTCTTCCCAACAAACAGCACGGAAAATTAATCTGAACCCTCCTGTGCTCAAAGAAGCCTGCAGCTGAGACATCCTTCCTTTCTCGAACTGCCAGTGGCACTTTGAAAACATTCAGCATCTCAATGTTCCCATCAGCATGTGCATCTGAACTCGCAGTGATAAAAAAAACAGCCCCCCCCCCCCCCCCCCCACACACACACACACACACACACACACACACACACACACACACACAC